GAAGCTCAACACCATCAAAGCCCGCTTCGAGAGCGTTTTCAGCTGCACGTTTATAGTCATCGACGATGCCTGGAATCTCGGTGATCTCAAGAGCTCGTGGATTCGGGTGAGGCAAACGACCTTCAGCAGTGGTGGCGAGACTCTGCACTCCCTCCATGCTCGTTGCGCTCGCCGACACAGGTTGGGCTCCATTCGGAAGGTTCAAGGGGTGACTGACGCGGCCTGTGTGCCACAATTGGTTGAAGATCTTGCCGCCTTTGTCGTGCACTGCGGATGTTACGGCCTTCCAGCCTTCCACTTGCTCCGGCGTGTAAAGACCCGGGGCTCCGTAGTAACCGCGAGCATAAGCACTGATGTTGGTGGCCTCCGTGATCAGCAGACCGCCATCAGTAGCACGTTGCCTGTAGAATTCGGCTACAGCAGGTCCAGGCACTCCGTCGCCGCCAGTACGCTGACGGGTCATGGGTGCCATGATCACACGATGCTTCAATTGGGTTGGAGCCTTCTTGCCGCCGAGTTTCACTGCGGAGAAGAGCTTGGACGCCATGGTGAACGATGAGCTGGAGTCGATTGTTGCTGACTTGGTTACTTGGAGGAGTTTTGAAGAATGCTAGATGAGATGCTAGTCGCATGGGCATTGTGAGCATGATAACCAAGCACAAGACGCAATTAGGTCTCGCGTGGCAATCACTGCAGTTCCGCTTCTGTTTACCACAACCGATTACGCGATCTGAATTTGGGTAGTAAAATGTTGCCGGAACAGCTATCGAAAAAAAAAATTCTGTACTAATAGAACGGTTCTGTTGATCGTGGTCAGCATTATTTTAAGTGTAACAACGAGGCACATGCGCTAGTAAGTGTTGGCGGCAATCCATCGCATCTCGACGGTGTCGCAAAGACTTTTTTTTCAAAATAATGCTACCTTTACCGTATTAGCCCTCGCAACGGCATCCTCGGCTTGGATTCCTCGCCGGGCTCTGTTTACCTTATCCTCGTACACCCGAAGCTTTTCTCGGCGGCTTCTCAGTGATGAATAGAACTCAATTATTTATGAGGTCATGATCTTTAAGGTAATACTTCTATTTGTCTAGTAGTCGAGCAACGATGGAGAACAAAACTCCCGGGAAGCATTCTCCTGCATAAGAACAGAAACTTAGCACCCGACTATAGTACCAGCACAAAAGATAGTGTCTTAATTTCACCGGTTCACTTGTAGCATTAGCAATTCATCTATACACTTCGTGAACAATTAAACAACTCAAATGTAGATCTGCTCGTCTTCCTCCATCTTGTGGTGTAGTCCGACAGACTCGACGGCAAACTCGCCAAATTTAATCTCCTCACCCGTTTTGCCAATCAAGAAGCGCTTCTTGTAAATAAGATTGGGGTAAATTTGCTCCGTCTGCACTGCTACGAATCTCTCAGCACGTGCATTACCTCCACGCGGAGGTGCAAGCCGAGCCCGTTCGTTTGGTAACACGAGGACCAACACCGTCAACAGCAGTAGCACACCGCATCCCGTCCACGTACACACGTTGCCTACCTTGGTATTCGTCAAGAAGACCTTTACTCGTCGTGTATCAGTATCAACAAGTCGTCGTTGGGTCATCATGATCTCCACACCTGGTGCATTATCCAATACTCGAGCGTTTTGAAAAATAAACATCAGCGCAGATGCTGCCATCGTCTCCACCATATCGCCACTCACGTAAAAGTGATTGCTGTCCACATACTGGAGGTATGTATCCATTGCAGCTGAGCATGTTTGTGTGTTGTCCTGTGGCCATGACTCTAAGTGCTCCAACGTCGCAAACGACGGCGTTTGTCCGTGGTGAAATCTAACCTTGGGCTCCAAGAGCTGAACAAGAGAGACAAAAGATTCTCGACTGCCACTTTGGAGTTGAGTCGAGAGCCACTGTTTAGGCAATACCAAATGGCGATCGCTATCACCGAGCTGGTGGTGCAGTACCTGACAACCTTCTTCAGAAGACGTTCCCGGCTCACACTCGTACGCATCACTATCGAAGCGCCACGATAAACGGCCGAAGGACAGCACCAACGAGTGTGTCGCTACGGCCGCACCACTTTGAACGCTAGCCACAGTCGTGAAACCATACACGAATGCCGCGTTGGACGTGTTCATTCGCGCTATTCCAACCTGCTTGCGTGGCAGACGCTGTCTGAGGTTTACATGGGGCTCCAGCAACGCACAACTGGTTTCACCACATACGACAGAGGCGTTGTCCGGGCTGCGCAGCGGAAATTTCAGCGTCATGGCATGTAAATCCATCAATGAACTCAGGGTCCGCGTCTCGAACGAAGCCTCTACACTAACAATTTCCGCCAGAGGCAGTCCCATGTCGAATACAGATCTCACGACATCGTCCAGAAACTCGTCCGTGTTTAGAGGGGGCGTGCTGGCTTGGTTAGCGCTGGTAGCTCTCACACTATTCGATAAGATGGTTCTCCCTTCCAGCCACAACTCGTAAGCCGTGGCTAGAGGCATTACCTCGCTGAGCTGCACGTCACTAGCTGCATCCTCAGCACCAGGATGAGAAATCTCGACGCGCTTCGTTGCTTCCTCATGCGTCCACCCGTTCCCGAACTCGACGCTCCAATCGCGTAGGGGAAAGCCGAAAACAGCCTTTGGGGCTGCAGTTAGCAGCGTACCAGCATCAAACAGATCTGTCCCTGTAGAACTACACTTCGACATCTCCAGAGGCCGCATAGGGTCCACCTTCCGTGCCAAGGCTGTCTTCAAGATAGTGTCCCCCAGTCCTGCTACTCCCAACATCGTTTCTTCCTGCAATAAGAACCTCGTCGTCGTAGTCGAGTTACTGTTGTTGTCTGCAGTGTTATCATCTTTCTGGTTGGCCTGCACGGCTGAAAGTGAACTGCCCACGGCCATCATGACGGCTGGGATGAAGATCGTAAGTGCGAACTTCTTGAACTTGCTCTGCTTTTTGGTCGCTGGATCGTCGCTCGGATACCACCTCAGGTTGTGCAGGTATACGATAAAGACGGGGAAAATCTCTTCCACGCCAAGGCCCACGATAGACTCGATGAAGCCCATTATAAGACCGATGTATGAGTTGACCGTATCCACTTTAGTATCAGCGGTGCCCACAGGAACGCCCTTGTCCACCACGAAACCCTCGCGTAGCCACGCAGCGATAGCTGTCATGACGGCGGCCGTGAATACCACGAGCACCGCGAACCGCTTCCACCGCAGAATGATCTCTGGTCGCGGTTGGGCCAGTTCCCCGTACGCGACTTCGTCGTGGGCGTCGCTGTCGCTTACGCTGTCCACGCGAAGGCGACCGATATTGTCCACAACCAAATACGGAGACGTTGTCTGCAGGTCACTGCGCTGCTCGGGCCGTACGCTGCGGCTGCTGGCCAAAATGGCGTGCGGCGATTCACACTCAAAGGCGTCATCTGTGTACGAGGACATGCGGTCCTGCTCCAATTGCCGGCGCTCGGCCAATTGCACTTCGTACTTGGCTTCCGCTTCCGCTTGCGCTCTGAGTGACTGGTGCGGCTGCAGAGGCGCTGTGGGTGCACCTGGAAGCCGCTTCCTGCTGCCACTCATGATACACAACGTAGCGCTACAGCACGACGTTTACTTTATCTTGAAAATTGTATGTGTGAGTGAGATGGGCAGTGGGGAAATGGTGATATCGAATTTAACAGACATGTTAAATAAAGAATGCCTTTCAATATATTGCTCTCAATACAGAATAAAAACAACTATAGACAGGGAACTCTTCGGTCAAACAAACAAAGCAGCTTTGAACCTGCTAGCGCGGCACAACAACTGGCTTTACTGGTACCATTGGTTCTACCAAAGTGCGGGTGCAACGCGGAACCAAATGAACCTACCCATGATGAAGCTACTGGGACTCCCAATTTGGGAGCTACGACATGTTGTAGTACAAATTGTACGACCTGTAGATCAGGAAGGTTTGGATGCAGCCACCACTTTTTCTCTGCATCAGATTTCATATCGTAGACCCCTTAACTGTAATAATGCGCACAAACAGTCCATATAATTTCCTTTAATTTGGAGTAAATGTTTAAGTTGCTATGGCAATTAGTGTTGCTCATTACCTCTTACCTATTATGGATGCTGGGATTTTAAGAAAGGTTCACTTCCGCGATGGACCAGCGTGGAGGAGTTCCGACCGGTCTTCGGTTCGGAGATAGCGCTGGCGCCTCCCCTGTGTCCGCCAAGACAGACACCTCCACTTTACACTCGAGCAACTTCATGCCAGTCTCTTTACCCACTGCCGGCAATGGCGGCGACGACCTGCAGCGCAGCTTCGCCCCGGGTGAGTCGACAATCAACGACATGGCGCGCACCAACGCGCTGGCCGACCGCAACACCATCGTGGACATGAGTCTGCGGCTCGCGCGCTTCGTGCTGTGCGTGGCAGTGGCACTTATCTTCGCATTCGGCTTTGCTCTGCTCACGAGCAACAAGAAGACGCTCACATACGTGTACGAGAACAAACTGCCAGCCAACGAGACGCTGTCTACCAAGGCCTCGTCCGTCGTGGAGGACTACAACACGCTCTTCGGTTATATACTGTTCGCGGGAGGCAAGGTCTTCGAGGTATTCTGCGAGACGCTCATCTTCCCCACGCTCGCCACATATCTGCACAATTGTAGTCTGTACCCCGGAGACCAGCCAGCGCGGATGCACTCAGTTGCCAAGGCACGCTGCATCTTTTGGGGGCTAAAGACTGTCATTATCCTCATGAACGTCGGATTTACGAGTGTCTATGTTGGTCAAACCACCTATGAAGCCGGGCAACTTCCTCGACGCCTTGCTGTCTCGGACGATCTCGCAACCATGTTGACACAGATAGCGACGCCATGGTCTGTTGACTCCAACGGTGATGTGCTTCACTCGATCCTTCGGACATCGATGACCGGAACTACGACTCCATTCGCGTTCGAAGATACCTGCAAATGGTCAAAACACAAC